ACTGTACATATAAGGGATGAGTGGCCCTCTCCCTACACATACACTGTACATATAAGGGGTGAGTGGCCCTCTCCCTACACATACACTGTACTGTACATATAAGGGGTGAGTGACCCTCTCTCTACCCATACATTGTACATATAAGGGGTGAGCGGCTCTCTCTCACTACACATACACTGTACATATAACGGGTGAGTGACCCTCTCCCTACACATAAGCCGTACATATACGGGGTGAGTGGCCCTCTCCCTACACATACACCGTACATATAAGGGGTGAGTGGCCCTCTCCCTACACATACACTGTACATATAAGGGGTGAGTGGCCCTCTCCCTACACATACACTGTACATATAAGGGGTGAGTGGCCCTCTCCCTACACATACACTGTACATATAAGGGGTGAGTGGCCCTCTCCCTACACATACACTGTACATATAAGGGGTGAGTGGCCCTCTCCCTACACATACACTGTACATATAAGGGGTGAGTGGCCCTCTCCCTACACATACACTGTACATATAAGGGGTGAGTGGCCCTCTCCCTACACATACACTGTACATATAAGGGGTGAGTGGCCCTCTCCCTACACATACACTGTACATATAAGGGGTGAGTGGCCCTCTCCCTACACATACACTGTACATATAAGGGGTGAGTGGCCCTCTCCCTACACATACACTGTACATATAAGGGGTGAGTGGCCCTCTCCCTACACATACACTGTACATATAAGGGGTGAGTGGCCCTCTCCCTACACATACACTGTACATATAAGGGGTGAGTGGCCCTCTCCCTACACATACACTGTACATATAAGGGGTGAGTGGCCCTCTCCCTACACATACACTGTACATATAAGGGGTGAGTGGCCCTCTCCCTACACATACACTGTACATATAAGGGGTGAGTGGCCCTCTCCCTACACATACACTGTACATATAAGGGGTGAGTGGCCCTCTCCCTACACATACACTGTACATATAAGGGGTGAGTGGCCCTCTCCCTACACATACACTGTACATATAAGGGGTGAGTGGCCCTCTCCCTACACATACACTGTACATATAAGGGGTGAGTGGCCCTCTCCCTACACATACACTGTACATATAAGGGGTGAGTGGCCCTCTCCCTACACATACACTGTACATATAAGGGGTGAGTGGCCCTCTCCCTACACATACACTGTACATATAAGGGGTGAGTGGCCCTCTCCCTACACATACACTGTACATATAAGGGGTGAGTGGCCCTCTCCCTACACATACACTGTACATATAAGGGGTGAGTGGCCCTCTCCCTACACATACACTGTACATATAAGGGGTGAGTGGCCCTCTCCCTACACATACACTGTACATATAAGGGGTGAGTGGCCCTCTCCCTACACATACACTGTACATATAAGGGGTGAGTGGCCCTCTCCCTACACATACACTGTACATATAAGGGGTGAGTGGCCCTCTCCCTACACATACACTGTACATATAAGGGGTGAGTGGCCCTCTCCCTACACATACACTGTACATATAAGGGGTGAGTGGCCCTCTCCCTACACATACACTGTACATATAAGGGGTGAGTGGCCCTCTCCCTACACATACACTGTACATATAAGGGGTGAGTGGCCCTCTCCCTACACATACACTGTACATATAAGGGGTGAGTGGCCCTCTCCCTACACATACACTGTACATATAAGGGGTGAGTGGCCCTCTCCCTACACATACACTGTACATATAAGGGGTGAGTGGCCCTCTCCCTACACATACACTGTACATATAAGGGGTGAGTGGCCCTCTCCCTACCCATACACTGTACATATAAGGGGTGAGTGGCCCTCTCCCTACCCATACACTGTACATATACGGGTTGAGTGGCCCTCTCCCTACACATACACTGTACATATAAGGGGTGAGTGGCCCTCTCCCTACCCATACATTGTACATATAAGGGGTGAGTGGCCCTCTCCCTACCCATACACTGTACATATACGGGGTGAGTGGCCCTCTCCCTACCCATACACTGTACATATACGGGTTGAGTGGCCCTCTCCCTACCCATACACTGTACATATAAGGGTTGAGTGGCCCTCTCCCTACCCATACACTGTACATATAAGGGGTGAGTGGCCCTCTCCCTCCCGTCACCACTCCCTGGCAACCACATCACTTCCTCATCCCCACAACTCCCTCGCAACCATATCAATTCCTCAACTTCACCACTCCCTTGGAACCATATCACATCCTAAACTTCACCACTCCCTTGGAACCATGTCACGTCCTAAACGTCACCACTCCCTCGCAACCATATCACGTCCTTAACGTCACCACTCACTAGCAACCATATCACGTCCTCAACTCCAACACTACCTAGTAACCATATTACGTCCTCAATTCCAACACTACCTAGCAACCATATCACATCCTCAACTCCAACACTACCTAGCAACCATATCACATCCTCAACTCCAGCACTACCTAGCAACCATATCACAACCTCAACTCCAACACTACCTAGCAACCATATCACGTCCTCAACTCCAACACTTCCTAGCAACCATATCACATCCTCAACTAAAACACTGCTTAGCAACCATATCACATCCTCGACACCAACACTACCAAGCAACCATATCACATCCTCAACTTCACCACTCCCTAGCAACCATATTATATTGTACGTTCTCAACTCCACCCATCCCTATCTATAACCTTACCATCCGTTCCACTTCCACATCCTTACAACACCTCAATTACTTTCAACAATGACCTCACTATCTGTCAAGCCCTCCCTATCTCTACCGGAACCTATCTCTACCGGAACTTTTCTCTAACTGAAGCTTTCTCTATCGGAAGCTGTCTTATCAGGAAGACTGTTTATAACGGGGCCTTTTTGAATTAGAGCCTGTCTCTAACGGAACTTTTTTCCATTGCAATCTACCGGAATGTGTTTCCATTGCAATCAGTTTCTACCGGAACCCGTTTCTACTTGAAAGTCTCTTTACCGTAAGTTGTCTCTATCGGATGATGTTTCTTACGAAACCTATCTCTACCTGAACCTGTCACTGCGGGAACCTGTTTCGTGAATTTATATGAGCATAGCATTAAGAGTAGTATAAGCACATGATAGAAGCAGGTTTGTGACGTGTTTATTAATACATACCGGTAAGTCCATTCCATATTGTTTGCATATTGGAATGAGATTTTATGAACCCAGTTAATTGTGTGGAAACTGTATTGCCAATGCACTTTAAAATGTCATTTATCATACATGTCATATTTGTTTTGTCAAAATTATAAACCACCCAATATAACGGATGAAGTCCCATGTATTATAAACTCATACTTACGATTCTACGGTAAACTACTTAATCAAGCGCACCCTTTTAAACACGAGCACATGACACTTACCCAGACATGTTCAAAGGGGATCTGCATTTTCGACTTAAAACAGGATTTTGTAAGCAGTGTTCGTTTGATATGTTTCCCAATATATTCGCTTATTTAATAATACTGGAGAAGTTTAGTGTTCACTCAGTGTGTAATTGGATTTCCACGTCGATTATTTTATAGTTTTCCCACAACATTGGTTACATTTCATTTGAAAAATACGCGGGCAGGATAAATTTGTGAATAATTTATGTCCTGTGAAATTAAACTTAATAAGAAATATACAGATAATATTGATAATAAAACTAGGTACATTGAAGCATGAATATGCCGACACTTCACTTAAACCTAATTTACTGACTAGAGACTTAAAGAAAAAGGTCAAAATGACTTTAACTGACCAATGACTTTACATATACCTGACTTTACCGACACCTGACTGTACGCAGACAAAACATTACAAAAACCTGACTTTACTGACACCTGACTGCGGGCAGACAAAACATTACAAAAACCTGACTTTACTGACACCTGACTTTAACGACACCTGACTGTGTGCAGACAAAACAGACTGCGGGCATGACTTTACTGACACCTGACTTTAATGACACTGACTTTAATGACACCTGACTGTGCGTAGACAAAACATTAAAAAAACTGACTTTACCGACACCTGACTGTGCGCTGATAAAACATTATAAAAACCTGACCTTACCGACACCTGACTGTGCGCAGACAAAACATTACAAATACAAGACTTTACTGACACCTGACTGCGGACAGACAAAACATTACAAAAACCTGACTTTACTGACACCTGACTGCGGGCAGACAAAACATTATAAAACCTGACTTTACTGACACCTGACTTTAATGACACCTGACTGTGCGTAAACAAAACATTACAAAAACCTGGCCTTACCGACACCTGACTGTGCGCAGACAAAACAGTACAAATACAAGACTTTACTGACACCTGACTGCAGACAGACAAAACATTACAAAAACCTGACTTTACTGACACCTGACTGCGGGCAGACAAAACATTATAAAACCTGACTTTACTGACACCTGACTGCGGGCAGTCAAAACATTACAAAAACCTGACTATACTGACCCCTGACTTTAATGACACTGACTTTAATGACACCTGACTGTGCGTAAACAAAACATTAAAAAAACTGACTTTACCGACACCTGACTGTGCGCTGATAAAACATTACAAAAACCTGACCTTACCGACACCTGACTGTGCGCAGACAAAACATTACAAATACCAGACTTTACTGACACCTGACTGCGGGCAGACAAAACATTACAAAAACCTGACTTTACTGACACCTGACTGCGGGCAGACAAAACATTACAAAAACCTGACTTTACTGACACCTGACTGCGGGCAGACAAAACATTATAAAACCTGACTTTACACTGAACTTAACCAACACCTGACGTTACTTATACCAGTTTTTCAAATGATTTTACATACATCTGACTTAACCAATACATGATTAACAGACAGATGACTTTACTGACACCTGACTTTAATGACACTGACTTTAATGACACCTGACAGTGCGTAGACAAAACATTAAAAAAACTGAGTTTACCGACACCTGACTGCGCTGATAAAACATTACAAAAACCTGACTATACTGACCCCTGACTTTAATGACACCTGACTGTGCGTAAACAAAACATTAAAAAAAATGACTTTACCGACACCTGACTGTGCGCAGACAAAACATGACAAATACCAGACTTTACTGATACCTGACTGCGGGCAGACAAAACATTATAAAACCTGACTTTACACTGAACTTAACCAACGCCTGACGTTACTTATCCCAGTTTTTCAAATGATTTTACATACATCTGACTTAACTAATACATGATTAACAGACAGATGACTTTACTGACACCTGACTTCACTGACACCTGACTGCGTGCAGACAAAACATTATAAAACCTGACTTTACACTGAACTTAACCAACCCCTGACGTTACTTATACCAGTTTTTCAAATGATTTTACATACATCTGACTTAACCAATACACCACCTGACTGACACCTGACTTCACTGACACCTGACTGCGTGCAGACAAAACATTATAAAACCTGACTTTACACTGAACTTAACCAACACCTTACGTTACTTATACCAGTTTTTCAAATGATTTTACATACATCTGACTTAACTAATACATGATTAACAGACAGATGACTTGACTGACACCTGACTTTAATGACACTGACTTTAATGACACCTGACAGTGCGTAGACAAAACATTAAAAAAACTGAGTTTACCGACACCTGACTTTAACGACACCTGACTGTGTGCAGACAAAACATTATAAAACCTGACTTTACACTGAACTTAACCAACGCCTGACGTTACTTATCCCAGTTTTTCAAATGATTTTACTGTGCGCTGATAAAACATTACAAAAACCTGACTTTACTGACATTTGGTTTTACCAACACCTGACTGTACTGACATTTGATTTTATCAACACCTGACTTTACTGACTTTACTGACACCTGACTACACAGACAACTGATTGTACAGACACCTGACTTAACCAATACACCACCTGACTGACACCTGACTTTAATGACACTGACTTTAATGACACCTGACAGTGCGTAGACAAAACATTAAAAAAACCGACTTTACCGACACCTGACTTTAACGACACCTGACTGTGTGCAGACAAAACATTACAAAAACCTGACTTTACTGACACCTGACTACACCGACACCTGATTGTACAGACATCTGACTTAGCCACTACATACCTTTACTGACACATTACTACGCCGACAACTGATATTACAGACATCTTACTTAACCAATACATGACTTGACTGACACCTGACTTTAATGACACTGACTTTAATGACACCTGACTGTGCGTAGACAAAACATTAAAAAAAATGACTTTACCGACTCCTGACTGTGCGCTGATAAAACATTACAAAAACGTGACCTTACCGACACCTGACTGCGCTGATAAAACATTACAAAAACGTGACCTTACCGACACCTGACTGTGCGAAGACTTAACGACACCTGACTGTGTGCAGACAAAACATTACAAATACCAGACTTTACTGATACCTGACTGCGGGCAGACAAAACGTTACAAAAACCTGACTTTACTGACATCTGACTTTACCAACACCTGACTGTACTGACATTTGATTTTATCAACACCTGACTTTACTGACCTTTGATTTTACCAACACCTGACTTTACTGACATCTGACTTTACCAACACCTGACTTTACTGACATTTGATTTTACCAACACCTGACTTTACTGACCTCAGATTTTACCAACCCCTGACTTTACAGACGCCTGACTTTACCGACACCTGATTTTACACAGACTTGACTTTACTGACCTCTGATTTTACACAGACCTGACTTTACTGACCTCAGATTTTACCAACACCTGACTTTACAGACACCTGACTTTACCNATTTGATTTTACCAACACCTGACTTTACTGACATTTGATTTTACCAACACCTGACTTTACTGACATTTGATTTTACCAACACCTGACTTTACAGACCTCTGATTTTACACAGACCTGACTTTACAGACACCTGACTTTACAGACACCTCTCTTCAATGACACATGACTTTACTGATACGTGACGTTTAACATCCGACATATTTTTTAAATCCTCGTCAAGATTTGTTTCTTTGTCTTTTATCCAATTTTTATTGGCACACATATCCGACCTAATGATTAAGACAGAGTTAAAGAAATATATTGTGATTGATGATAAACTATTTGCGCATGTTCATTATGGTAAAATACTTTAAATCAAAGTAGATTAAACCAATATGCATAGCCAATCACGATTTAACGATAAAGAGTGAAATCGAGGACCCTGATTAGTACAAACCTTTTCCCACCGCCGGCACCGCTCGTTAAACATGGTAGTCCTCAGGGCCATGTTCACGGCTGTGTTCACCTCATCCATGGACTTAAACTTCCACAACTTTTTCACCATTTTTATCGATATTTTATCCCGGTCAAATTCGATACTTCCTGGACTATCAACAGGATGAAACAATCTCGAGTAAAATCCGTACGATAAGATTATATCTAAGTACGCGTTCCGTACCACGAGTGTCTGTACCACACCTTCTCACAGAAAACAATCGGCAATAACAGTTTCAAACTCCTATCTTAACGGCTTCAGATGACACGTTAGATATTCACTGTTTTGGTAGTTTAGAACACTTAAGCTACCACCCCGGGCTATGACAGATATTCGTTGCTATTTCATATTTCCGTCTGTTTCATTTTCAAAGAACTCATGAAATTAATGTGTAAAAACAACATCCGCCTCCTGCCTCCCAAACTGACCATTTTGAAGACGTCCACTGAACACTCCACACGTGACCAATCCAATAAATCCGTGTTCACCACTTGAATTAAATTCCGGTAAAAAATATATTAAAAAATCAAGTCTGTATTTAGAAACATTATGTTTACATATGATTACCTATGAAGTTAATTGTAAATAAATGTAAAGCCTCTTCAGAAAGAAATAATACTTCTCTCTCGATCTGTCAATCTGATGAAGATCACAAAATTATCCAAAATACGTGTTTACGGGTGATAAATCAAGTCGAGTCGTTGTCGAAAGAGTCAACAGGACACAAGTACAGTGGATAAAGACGCATGATCCGAATGTCCGATTCAAACGCCGAAAAGTTGTCCTTCAAACCCGAAATAACGACAACCTGCCCCAACAGACAAGGTATGTATGTCGCTTTAAACTGGGAGCGTTATGACGGCCACTTACATTGTTAGCTTTACTAAGTGGTATATTTACGTGAAGTAAACCTGTATACATAAACCACTTTTGCTGGCTTTCAGTCAAATCAATGGGACCAATGGTCTCCATTTCGACATACCGATGCAAGTAGTTGCAAAAGTTTTATGTAGAAATGTGTACCGCTGTTGAAAGCACATACAAACATTTCATATGTTCAATGGCTTCGACGATATATATTAATTTCATTTCACGTCTACACAAAGCTAAATGTTTACTCGTATCAAAGCTATTGTAGCAGGCTCGATAGGAGCCAAGTGTTATCGGCGTTGTTCCGGCTTTCTACACTACTGCACTGCTCTTTCCCACTGCCGGGTTGTTTAACCGCCCGTCTTTAGATAAGATAGCAAGCAAACGTAATTTGATTTCTTAATTCCATTCATATTTTCTCCTCGTGTAAACGGCCATATATTTACATAAAATTGAACATGTGAAAACAAATTCCTGTCCATTTACAACTTTATATACAAATGTTACAAATACGCAACCATTTATGACGTATTTTAGATAAAAAAAAAAACATTTCAATTTCTTTTCTCGAATATATTATTAAATTATATAAAAAGGTTACAAAAAAACAAGCAAACAATTTCTAGATATTAGGAAAAAAATAAAAATACAACGGTTCTCGTTAAATAAATAACAAGTTGACAAATCTCTGAAAACTCCGATGCCTCTGTTTACAAGCGTCACGTGGACGAGAACGCTAAAGCCGATATTTAAGTTGAGGGGCCATTAATCGGCTTTAAATCCGACAACTATTACGAAAAGCCAACAAACCGTTTAAGTTGTCGTATTCGTAAAAAATACCAAGAGTTTAACAACACTTTAATGTCTGTTTCTATGCTCAGGGTGATTTTGTCTGGTATTGCGTGGGATTGAATGTAAATCTGTTCACGTACTTAACGATCTTCACTGGGCGGATTTCGGATTAAAAGATCTAGAAAAGTCAGAAGTCTATCGAGTCTTAGTTAGGTAATTCAAAATTTAATATATATATATCTTTATAATAGGAATACATTGGTTTTGTATGAAAGCCGTTTAGAGCCATTTAAATATCATAACACGTCGCCGGTAAACCGATATACACAGGAAAGGTGATGATAAGTTGTGCGATGACGATCACAGGGACCTGAGAATTTGTTACAGCTATATTTGGACCGAGTTCAATGTTTTCAGCGTAATTTTACACGTCTTAGTGATTTAGGTAAACATGCTTTTTCAGGTCTGTATAACCACACATTCACCTCAACCTCAAAAATCCAAAATAGATAATAGTCTTTAAGCTTATATTATGTCACAGGGACCTGAGAATTTGTTACAGCTATATTTGGACCTAAACTAAGGTGTTTAGTGTAATTTACACGTTTGGGGTGGCATTTTTACCGAAAATCGATCTAAATCCCGCAAACGTGTAAAATTACTCTAAACACCTTAAGATTAGATCCAAATATAGCTGTAACAAATTCTCAGGTCCCTGTGTATCATGTATGAAACCGTGATTGTTGATACATATAATTTCATATTCTTTATCCATGTACATGGGCCCTTGGATCTGTTGAATCGGAGGTAAATAGTTCAGGGTTAGTGTTTTTCATGTGTATTTTGTATTTATCTGTATATGTTTTTGTTTTTTGTTGCCCTGTATATAGCCCCCCACCCCCGCCCCTTTCTACATGTAGCTGATAGAAGACCCCGACTGATTGTGTTTTTTGTTGCCCTGTATATAGCCCCCCACCCCCGCCCCTTTCTACATGAAGCTGATAGAAGAACCCGACTGGTTTTGTTTTTTGTTGCCCTGTATATAGCCCCCCACCCCGCCCCTTTCTACATGTAGCTGATAGAAGAACTCGACTGGTTTTGTTTTTTGTTGCCCTGTATATAGCCCCCCCGCCCCCGCCCCTTTCTACATGTAGCTGATAGAAGACCCCGACAGATTTTGTTTTTTGTTGCCCTGTATAGCCACCCACCCCGCCCCTTTCTACATGTAGCTGATAGAAGACCCCGACTGATTGTGTTTTTTGTTGCCCTGTATATAGCCCCCCACCCCCCGCCCCTTTCTACATGTAGCTGATAGAAGAACCGGACTGATTGTGTTTTTTGTTGCCCTGTATATAGCCCCCCACCCCGCCCCTTTCTACATGTAGCTGATAGAAGAACCCGACTGATTTTGTTTTTTGTTGCCCTGTATATAGCCCCCCACCCCCGCCCCTTTCTACATGAAGCTGATAGAAGAACCCGACTGGTTTTGTTTTTTGTTGCCCTGTATATAGCCCCCCCGCCCCCGCCCCTTTCTACATGTAGCTGATAGAAGACCCCGACTGATTGTGTTTTTTGTTGCCCTGTATATAGCCCCCCACCCCCGCCCCTTTCTACATGAAGCTGATAGAAGAACCCGACTGGTTTTGTTTTTTGTTGCCCTGTATATAGTCCCCCACCCCGCCCCTTTCTACATGTAGCTGATAGAAGAACTCGACTGGTTTTGTTTTTTGTTGCCCTGTATATAGCCCCCCACCCCCCGCCCCTTTCTACATGTAGCTGATAGAAGAACCCGACTGGTTGTGGGCGTGGTTGTCAGATGCTAAGGTCGCCGTTGCTGAAAACAAAATCGTGCTTGGTGTCGCTTGTCCGGATGATAACTTAAAGACGAATGACCTAACGAACCTCAAACTTATAATTGTGTGTGGGTTGCCCTATCGACTGCGAATAAGAACAGTGACTTCAGACTCAGTACGACAGAGCTCAAGGTCACCGTCGCTAAAACGTGTTCTTGTTTTTTGAATGATAACTTAAAAACTAGTTATACAAAGTTCAAAATCGGTGTGTGGGTAGCTCTAGCTGATTTTGTCGTGGTACATCAAAGGTCGTGGTCACTTTTGGTACAATAGAATTTAGCTCAACGTCCACATAGAAATACTGTAAAACAGATTGTACAGATGTGTGCCCGAGTTGCCTGCCCTTCCCGAACACAAATCCAAGAAGGGTCGATAGCAGATCATGCACGTGACTTTTTGGGGTGGGGTATATATCCTGCCGCTAGCGGCTGTCTCCCTCTTGTCACAATCGGTAAAGGGGAAGCAACTCTTAATGAAGTTCCATTCAGTAAAGTGTTCTATACAAATATTATCGTAATTATCAGGCCAACATGCCTAATTTGATATAAAAACTACAGGCCATTGTGATCATGCCGGAATAACCTTTAGAAGATATATGTCACATGATATGTGACTATTTTGATGAAGGATTCTGAATTGTGAAATGTTGGGGGAAAGCGGAAAGAGCTCCTTCCTTACAGCTATAGATGTCGGGTCAGCCAGCACAAATTAGATGTCGGGTCAGCCGGCACACATTAGATGTCGGGTCAGCCGGCACACATTAGATGTCGGGTCAGCCAGCACACATTAGATGTCGGGTCAGCCAGCACACATTAGATGTCGGGTCGGCCAGCACACATTAGACGTCGGGTCAGCCAGCACACATTAGATGTCGGGTCAGCCAGCACACATTAGCAATACTGATTACTTATATTGTTCAGAGAGTTTGGTAAATAGTGTGTGAACTTAAACAATCTTATTTGAAATATCAATCGTAATTAACACGAAAGCGGTTAGAGAAACTAGCTGGTTATTAGTAAAACGCCTCTGTCTACCCAACTGTATAAATGGACACCGGCATAGCGAGGAGCAATCTTGCTAAATACAGATATGTTTTTCCCATGGAGTCCTATACATTCAAGACTTTAGCAATACGTAGTTTACCGACTGTTATCTCCCCCTTGTTTGATACCTTAAGTAAACAGGTGACTAACAGCAGAGTCATCTAGATCTATGGCTGCCAACATTCCCGATACTAGACCTACAGTCAACCTGCCTAGACCCGCGTAAACATGGCGGGCAGGGCGGAACAGGCTTTCACCGCAGACTTCACCAACACCCTGCGGAGGCCCGGGGGTGGGAGACGCCTGGACCTCCCCGCCCAGAGGTGTATGACGTGTGTATGTATATAGGTATATTATGTGTACCTGTTTGTATACGAGATCACGCTCGGGTGCTCCTGTACCTGACGGGACACTCCATAGCATTATCAGCTTCATGCATCCTCAACAGTAATATTGAAAATTACTTTATCATATCATTTCGAAACATATACATTCTCGTATGAAACTTTAGATGAAGAATAATTACTTTGTATATGATAAATCAAAATGAAACGAAAACACATTACCTTTCTGTAAAAAAAAAAAATGTTTTTCATCAACTCGATAATTCTGTACCACTTCCTGTAAATCTCATGAGTCTGCTATAAAATGCTCGTTTATTAAAAAGGTACGTATAGGCGGTCTCTATAGTACACAACAATCTAGACACTCACGTGTTGATTGTAATCTATTGAAACTAGTTTTTGTTTAAAATACCAGTATACCTGTTGACTAGTGCACATGAACCCAGACGCTGTCAGCGTTTTGTTGTTTATACCGGAGACAAAGTGATGTCGCCTTACATTGTGCTATACATGTATAAACAAGATACACATTGTATGGGGCTTTAAACAGTCTACGTTTGGTGCATATATCAGGAAAAAAATCTACGGTAGTATAGGCTGCTTCTGTAGATATACTGGTATATAAAGATCCTCTATCCAACCCCACCACTATCACCACCCTTATACACAACAACACCGACAGGGAAAATGACTCTATATAATACCTTTACATATTAAATTACAAAGTTTACAATGTTCATATGTTGCCACATCTTGTTATTGATGAATTTCAGATTTATAACTTTAAAAACATAGCGAAGATGATTTTTGCATTTTGATATGTTGACAGGATCGTGTGCTGAACGTGATCGTAGCTGTGTTTACAATCATAATTGTCATAGTAAGTATCAATAAAGTTGGCAGAGTTGTCTACCCCTGTTTTCCCACCCTTTTTTCTCTCTCATAGAAATCCATTTACAAAGCATGTAGAATGATAATTCTTTAAGCATTTACTAACTTAAAAACATAAATACAATACATATACACGCTGGGTACAGTTGTGTTTTCCACATATATCGTGGTCTATTTGGTATATATACTTTTACAGGAGTATTAGATGGTTTTACATTTATAGTAGATGATATTCTTCCATACTAAATGTCAAAGGTCCGCATTCAGTGGAATGTGGTCATTTTCGGGAAAGTTACCGCATTATGGATTTTTTCTTTTGATTATGTAGGTACAAATTATGTATATTTTACAATAATGTGTTCAATTAAGCTTTTTAAGTCTCCATAATTTAACAAAAAGGTACATTAATTAGTCTAGGTCGTATTCTAATAGGGAAAATAACTCCTCTCTGTCAATATTTGAAAATATATTGAAGGTGTGTTCAATTTTCTTTAAGAATACTTCAAATAAATAATCGAAAATGGTAATTCTCTCATACACATACAAGTATTTTTAATACGAAATAAACACAAACGTAATTTTAGTTGATCGATGTGGCTATGGGTATTACATACACTCTGTTGAATTTCCGTTGTTTGTTAGGAGACCCTGGTCAGCGCTTTCCTCTTACCAAGATGGCCCCCAGAGGGAAACAACATATTTTTCGCAGTGACAATAGTATGTCAATGTGCCTCGCACTTACTTCAGGTAAGTTCACGACACTTTCAGACGTAAAAGATTTTCTTTCGTGAATTTTCAACAACCTTGCTAATGCGACAACCTCTATTATGAGACCGCTTGTGTTAAGAGACCACTTTTTATTTTCCTCACGTAGTTATTTTATTGTGAACTAAATCTTTATTTAATCACCTGTGTAAAAAACTGATTTTGTTTTACTTTCCGAGGGGGGTTTCTTAATACAAGTTTGACTGTATGTTGGTGCAGACATCTAGCTTTTCCTGCGTTTTCACCAACTCTAAACAATAAAGTGCATGTACAATTGTATACAGAATTTATTTTCATTCAAGTTGGATATTTTAGTAACAGTATTAATTCACTCCTGGTGAAGTTTCACCGTCGGATGTCGTTCATAAACGATTGAAACGCGTATTCTTTTAAAACATGTAAAATTATGATGGTATGAACCCATTTGCTCACCATCATATTACATAATGTTCCGTATATATTTGTGAAACTCGCTGAAGTTCGTTTCATAAAAATCGTGTAATGAGATCTCAGTTAAGACTTTTTATAAATGAACTCTTGTACCACTTACAATAATAACAGGTGTTTGTTCTCTTTATATCAGATTCTCACTAATGAGGACAATCCGAAATATTAAATTTACGGATCAGTAAAGCAAACGAATTTGGAATAGTGAATTTTCGTATCATTTGCTTGGACATACGGTATCCGGAGGGGGTTTTCCCATATGTTATAGAATTCCGGAATATTTGGTTTACTTTCACACTCTAATCCTTATCTAACTAAAGACTTGATGTTATATTTTAGATATACTGGTACAGACAAGGAGAAATGGAGCCTAAATTTAGGCGGATCATACTCTACAACGCCGTCACCATCAGTTTACTGTGTGTATGTGGTAACTTATACATACACGGAGTTGGTGTGGGAAACACGTGCAATAAAGCTAGGAAAACTTAACCCCACAAAATGAATCTCAGAGGACAACGTCTCAAAGTTAGCAAAGCGTTGTCCTTCACATCGACGCCTCTTACATAATGAATCTCAGATGACAAAGTCCCAAAGCTAGCAAAGCATTGTCCTTCATATTGACGCCTCTTACATAATGAATCTCAGATGACAAAGTCCCAAAACTGGCAAAGCGTTGTCCTTCACATTGACGCCTCTTACATAATGAATCGCAGATGACAAAGTCCCAAAGCTGGCAAAGCGTTGTCCTTCACATTGAATCTCAGAGACAACGCTTCTTAGCTAGCAAAAGCTTAGCTCCATAGGATGTGTCAGAGACATCGCCTATTATCCGAAAAAGTTTCGTCCCAAAAGATGAATCTCAGAGACAACTGGAAGCTAGCAAAACTTTGTTCCACACAATTAATTTCGGGACAATGCCTCTTAACTTGCAAAGTTTTGTCCCAATTGACGAATCTACGTAGATATCGCTGCATTTTTTTGCCACCTATAATGTACGATCGGCATTCCATACATAACATTAAATGTCACAGCAGTGATATAAAAGGACACTGTGGCGTTGTATTGTAATAAGTCAGATGGAATGTCTCAACATTGTGTCATGTGACATATCGAGTATATAGCCACTATTGTGTCATGTGACATATCGAGTATATAGCCGCTATTGTGTCATGTGACATACCGAGTCTATAGTCGCTTTAATTGTCAATCATTACAGTAGCCGTTAGATCGTTATCAGAAAGAATGCATGTTGAATAATTTAGAAAAATATGTGAAGTATTAACAAAACACAATCACAAACAGTTTCAAATACCTGTATAGTAAGTTGTTATAGTGCCATGCTTATCGTTCTTTACTTGTAACATATGTCTCATAATAGAAACAAAAGATGACATCATGTTGTTTATCATGTATTTCGTTATGCTGTTTCTAGTGTATGTCGTACATAGTGCTGTTTCTAGTGTATGTCGTACATAGTGCTGTTTCTAGTGTATGTTGTACATAGTGCTGTTTCTAGTGTATGTCGTACATAGTGCTGCCTATATTTTGTCAGACACTATGTTGTCTATAATGTGCCATGTTATCTACGTTGCATGACGTAATATTTGTTGTATATTTTGTCATGTTGTCTCTACAACATATGACGTGTTTTCTGGATAGTTTATGACGTCACGTTGTCTCAGTAATGTATTACGGCGTGTTTTCTGTATAGAGTTTGACATCATAATATGACATCGTGTACGTTGTCGCCATAATGTATGACGTCATGTTGTCACTGTTATGTATTAACTAAGTAACGTTGTCTCTATGATGTATGTCATCGTGTTGATTCGGAATATGTGACGTCATCTTGTCACTTAAATGTATGACGTCGTGTTGTTGCTATAATGAAATGTTGTTTTCTATGAGATATATGACGTCACGTTGTCTCTAATTTATGACGTAATATTGTTTCAGAATTAATAATGATAGATGTTGTCTCTATATTATAACATAGTCTTGTCATTGTCTCTTTAACATAAAGTCATGTTGTCTTTATAACGTAACTTTAATGGTGTCGTCTCTAGAATGCATTCAGTGTTAAATGATAAATAGAATACCACACTCTTGTTATACTGTAATTAATTTCAGTAACATGATAAATAAAGCATACTCCTGTCTGACTAATTGAGCTAAAAAGTCAAGTGATGTTGATCTTGAAATGGTAGTCGGCCAAAGGACCGTGATATGTGAACATATTGTACTCAATTTTGTCTGTCAAATTGAATATCAAATTAACACTTGTGATACATATTATTTATATGAACAATAAATTTCGTACATGTGATTTGTTGTTGCAAATTATTATCCATGTCTTTGTGTTTTACTTTTCTTTTGTTCTCAGATCCCTGAGAGAGAACCTTGTTACCCGTTTATCATTTTTTTCTCTAATTAAACAATTCAATTCAATTTATTACCAAATGCACATTGCATATAGGAGTACAGAAATAAAAATATTGATAAATCCTTTTCAAATATCTTGTACAATGGCGGAGAACATATGTAATAGATTCAATTCCATACATAATAATTACAAACACATGAAATAGTCATAAGTTGGTGAAAACTTTAAGCTTTGCCTAACGTAACTTAGCAGACTCTTATGAAGCATAATTTAGTTGTTTATGAAATAATACAAATAAAGCCTTAAGCTAACCAAATTCCTAGGAAATAACAAAACTTCAAAGTCAATCATACAACCTCAACATGAAGGTAGAACGAGTACTATATATTATATAATGAACTGAGATTATAACTCATTGTGAAGTAAAAGACATCTCAATCGCATTATACAGTAACAAAACGTTTATAGCAAGACTTTGATACAGCTTATACATCATAATATACGACTTCTCTTAACAGTTGGTTGAATCAAGTACTTACTTAAATTTCTAATAAGTTTAAAAAATTTGCTAGACAGTAGCTCTATTAATTTAAACACAGAAGGACGAATACGATAATATGGCTTGATATACGATACTCTTAATTCTAAAAACACAGGACACATAAGAATGAAATGAAACTCATCCTCGACATCTCCAAGATCACATAAAGTACACAATCTCTGGTTTCGAGGCACTGCATTATATCTACCTGTCTCTATATTAAGGTTATGTGCTTGCAATCTATATTTCACAAGAATACATTTATTTTTTCTAAATAGCGGTTTTGTAAAATACCATTGTAGATCAAAACGGTCAACAATGTGTTTATACAACAAACATTTTGAAGATGTCTCGAATATGTTTCTCATTTCCTGAATAAAAGTATCCTTTATGCGTTCTCATGAAAATTTGTGTAAATAAATTTAATAAATACGTCACTCTACGATACACTTCTAAGATGGAACAAATAAAGAAGGAACGATTTCAAAACTTTCGTTTATCTAAATATATATATGGTGAATAAAATTGAAATATAGAGATTGTACGGGGCGTGGCAAAGTGTTCGTTCGATCAGAAACTTTCGGGTATTTCCGGTCACACTCGGAAAAGTCCGAACTCACTTATGGTGGTGTCGCAAAATACTTTAGTAATAAATATATATATCCATATAAACAAGTGATATACCCTTAAAGTCGTACTTATATTGAAGCATTGTTATGGCTATCAAATGTATCATTTAACACTGCGTCACCGTATTGCGACAGATAACGACCGATTTACGGCAACGTGTAGGATTCTGGAAACATTTGACGGAGATTCGCATCTTAAAAATTCAATCATGAATATTCGATGCGCACAGGTAAATTCAGTATCAGCGTCAATCGATTTGGTGTCATAAACTAATACATAAATGTAAAACAAAGTATAATACAGTCAAAAAATGATGGTTGATGTATAATTTTGTCGCGGAAGGACCCAGATACACCTACACGGAGGGCGGACGCCTAAATTCACAAATTTCGCTTTCTCTCTTTCTCGTGTCGGAGTCATGTTTGAGTACATGACTTCGGCCTCCTCATGTTGTAAAATGCTATAGAACTAACTCTGTTTTCTCAAGTCTATAAACATAGATAGCTAGATTGTCTCGCATACATGATTTGACATGTAAAGCTAGCTTTGGACTTGGGGAAATGATGCAATGTACGTTGAAATCACTATCAAGTACAGTCGGCTTGTTCATTGACTGGATTTTCTTTGGGGGTAACTAAAGGAAACGCATAATTTGTTGATTTTAGCAAGTATTAATTTGACACAAAGTGATGGTATTGATGTAACACTCTGGTACGGAACAACTCAAATCCTTGGTATGGATGAACTAATTCTTTGAACGGGTGGACATGACGGGATTGCCAATGGTATGGAAGAACATGGAACTGAGCAGTGATCGAAAAAACATATATCTTTGTCTAGTACTAAATCGATCCCATGCCTTGTAATGGAGCAAGCCTGGTGTGAATCAGACATTGGTCCGCATCCATAAATAGGGTTGTAGTATGAACTATTTCTGTTGATATCCTGCACAACTTGAAGTTAAACTCTGCCTAAAATGTCGTTAAATTAGCAAGTTGACAGAGAAAGCGCAATCGAAATCTGAATTGACCGCCATGTTGGAAAGTTTGTCTCTCTTCCGATATATAGGTCAGAGGTCTAAATATGGGTGTCATGACCCAATATGGAAATTGTAGTAAACATGGCAGCATCAGTAGTAATACTATATTTGGCCATGCAGGCCTTATATATATAGAAAGTATAATTGAGGGATCGAAGGATTCGTTTTTTCAACAATTATGCAATATTTTGATAACATTATATACTCATATGAGGCGTGAATTATATGTAATCTCACAGATTAGCGCTTTTGATTTTGCTCAATTACAAGGCATAGGACGGCGGAATATATAAAAAAAAAATGTCATTGTCATAATCTGCTACGCTATTGCAGATAATCTTTGCCGTGTAGCCCAAGTTTCCTCTGGCCCTGACACCATACTTAGACAATTTGACAGATAGATGTCTGGTGTGTGGTGCCAGAGCGCACTGCTATATGAAAACAAGGAATTCTCCAACACCGTTGGGTGTCAGAGATTTTTTAAGGTGCTGATAACAAAAGATGACTATGACACAACACATATCTCACATACATCAATAAATGGATTATCACCAACAGCTGCTAAACTCCGTCATTAGATTCCTTGGTTTTCAATTGTTCAAAATTTCCAACCTGAACGAACGCCATTTTTGTTGGTCATGGGAGTAACTAATCAACAAAAAGAGGAGGTCCGGAAATCTTCTAAACAGTAATGATATATTCTGTTTGTTCGGATCAGTACAGCTTGTTGATTAATCACAAAAGATCTTGGTACCCAAACAACCGAGTACCAAAATGTCAGTACACCAGGAAAAGTGTGTATTTTCATGGTGTAAGGAAATTGAACCTAAATCATGTTTCACAGCTAAAGATAAATCCAAGATGGCTGCCATTTTTGTCAGCTTGACACCTCAGAAATTAAAAGTCATTTGCTACGTAATTATCATGACTTAAATTACCTCATACTTTGTGATACATCCCTTGGCTTCGATTACTGCTTTCATGCGCATTGGGATTGATTTGTATAGTTTTTGGATGAATCTAGGGATATTTCTGTCCATATTGTGCGAATTGCATCCTCCGAAATTACACGAGAGGTGTCAAAAAAGTTGCGGAATTGTTTCTGAAGTTCAATCTTAATTTTCCCCAAACATTTTCAATTATATCAAGGTCTGGACTCGGGGCTGGCCATTCCATGACATTGCGTTTATTTTCCTCAATACAATTTACACCACACGAGCATGATGTACCGAAGCATTGTCATCTTGAAACACAGTCTTTGTCAACAATGTCTGTATTTTTCACCGTTTATGTTACCATCTACAACAGTTAAAGTACCTACCCCTTTGTAGGTTATACAACCCCAGATCATCAAAGACAGTTGTTGTCCACGTCCTGGGTTAAGACACCGGGGGGGGTCCATTCTCACCTGGCTGTCGTCATACCAAAACACTTTCCATGCCCAATTCAACCTTACACTCATCACTAAATACCGGGTATCACGTTTTTTCCAGAAATCATCAATAGTTTGAAATCTACTTATTTTACACCAAGTGCGACGTCTAGCTTCACGAATTCTGATTTCCTTTTTCACAACACGCTTGTTAAAAATTTCCTCGTATACTGTTCTTTTCACAGTACGTTTAGAAATGGTTTAGGGTCTAAACTCATTCAAAATGCATTTTGTATTAGTAATATCACCCAGAGATCTCCTTCTGTTTGATTTAACGATACCACAAAGTTGATGAGAATCCGATCCAGTGAGCTTGGAGGGTCGGCCACTTCTCTCTCCGTTTTCAATCGATCCTTCACAAATACATCGCAAAACACCATAAATTGTTGGAAGAGGGTGTCCTGTTTGTTCAGATATTTGATTTGGCTTTCTTCCCGAATCGTGCAAAGATTTGATGACACTTTTCTCTTATAGAGACAGTTCTCTCCGTTTGGGTGGCATCTGTTTACAGCAGACGACCGTTTATTTAGCAGACGACCAATCACTTCCGGTGACCTATGACCCTTTGCATAGCATCGCTTGAGTGAATGTGTGGAAGAAGGGGCATAACCCTTACATAATTTCTGAGAAATGCCCCTTTTTTTTAAAATAAGTAACCCGGAAGTAAAATGACATCGTGAAAATTATCTTCACTTTTGGCACAGCATTGTAGCTTAGCTTCCAGGCCATTTTATTGAGACATTTAGAATTTAGTAAAAGTTATTTTCAAAATGAAATTTGGACATCATTGAGAACAGCGGCCAGAATGTTAGCCTTTGTTTAGGATTGTAAAGCTTTAATTTTCTGTACCATATAAATTACTCGTGTATTTTATATTTTGTATTTGATAATTGCAGCCGGAGGACCTGATGAACATGCAGCATTGTAACCTGCTATGTTTACCAGAAAACTACCAGATGAAGTACTACTTCTATCACGGACTCTCCTGGCCACAGGTAAGGAAACAATACAATTATTTAAAACACCTCAGTTTATATAAGTCCCATCTTCACTTTCGCCATCTCACATAAATATGCAAGTGATATTTTCCAGTAAATAAAAAGTTTGAAATGCCTAGAAAGATATACCTAGTCTCAGATTCAAGATCAAGTGTTGTGATCATCAGGAATGATACATATGTAACAGGAGAAAGAGAAATGCAATGGCCAGACTGGGGTTTGAACCAAGGACCCTCAAAAAATCTAGACGGATGACGCTCCAAACTCTATCAATTGAGCTACCTGGTCACATACGAACGACGAAGTCCAGTTCCGCTACATTCTTCCCTCTTTTTTTTTTCGTTCCTAAAGACAACTATTTACCGCTCAGGTTAGGATATCTCCTTGCTAAGCGTTCACCCGTGTTTGAAACTAGGTTGGCAAGCTCACCAATTTTGTAACAGGAGGAAGAGAAGTGCAACAGCAAGACTGGGGTTTGAACCCGGGACCTTCCAAACTCTTAGACGGATGCTCTACGAATTGAGCTACCTGGTCCTAGTCGATCGACCCAGTCTAGTTCCTCTACACATGCATTAGTTTAGGCTTTAAGTTGCTTTATACAGGTAACCTCTTTACATTAGCCTTTATTCTTTGTTTCAGCTGTCATATGTAGCAGAGGATGAAGGGGGTAAAATTGTTGGATATGTTCTGGCAAAGATGTGAGTATCAAAACTAACATAAAATATTTGTTCTTAAACTAAGGCCAATATTAAAGTTGAGTGTTTATATAGTCGTAAGCAGCTAGCTGTTTAAAACAGCTATAGTAAAGCAGTTAAAAAAATAACTAGTAAAATAATCATTCTAATAAGACAACTGTTCAAATATATTGGAAATAAAAAAAACTTTAATATACTCTATAATTAGTAAAACTATAACATTGTTGAGATCAGAATGATATTGTACCCTGGTGTACATCTATAGTGCCATGTCAATTAACTTATGATGTTCCCTGTATACCTAATATCTACTGTGACACATAACTTGTATTGTTCCCTTCTTTATGTCTATTGTGACAGGGAGGAGGACCCGGAAGACTCCGTACCACATGGGCACATCACTTCCTTGGTAAGACATTCAAATCTCTAAGTGGTATTTTAGTTTTTATCGTGAAATCTATGGTAAGACATTCACATCTTGAAATGATATCTTAGTTACACCCCCCTGCAACGAAGTTAGGGGGAGTATATTGGAATCAGCTTGTCTGTCTGTCTGTAGAAATTTTTTGTCCAGACAACTGCTTCTAAAGCAGTGGACCGTTTTCAAAGAAACTTTCCAGATATGATAACTTCCACCTTAAGTTGTGCATCCATGTATTATTTTTTCATTTTGACCCTTTTTAAATGCCCGTCAAATTTGACGGTAGTGTTATTGTATGGCGTCGTCTGTCCGTTCGCCGACCATCCGTAAACTTTTATTTGTCCGGCAATCTTCTCCTACATTTTTTCCGATCTCTTTGAAACTTGGTATACATTATAATCATGATATGAAGTTGTGTGTCCCTTAAAAGAATTTTGATTCGACAATGTTTTCAAACATAATTACCCTTTATTCATTTCAATATTTTATTTTTTGTCCGGAGATCTTCTCCTACATTTTTTGACGGATTTCTTTGAAACTTAGTAGGCTAAATAATCATGATATGTTGTTGTGTTTCTTTGAATAGAATTTTGATTTTACAATTTTTGCAAAAGTTATTGCCCTTTGTTCATTTCAGTATTTGATTTTTTGTCCAGCGATTTTCTCCTTATTTTTTTATAGCATGTCAGCTCACTCTTAGAATGATGCAGATCTTATTTCAATGTAAGAAAGTATATAACACTATATGGCATTCGACGGGCGTATATTGTTCCGCCCCGCGGTACTCTTGTTGACCTAATATTTTCATTTTCATGATGTGGTTTGTGTGGTGGTAATAATATGAAGATGTTAACGTTCCTGTCATAAAATGGGTTTGCTGCATCAGTTGTAATGGGAGATATTATTTTGTATACCCCTTTGTGACCCAGCTAGTGTGAACCTTGGGACTACAACTTCTAGTCCCATATATAGCTTTTGACCAAATATTTATATATATATATACTGCTAACAGAACTTCACCTAGGATAACACATAGAATAATTCTACAGGATAGTTATCTGTGGAAGTGAATGTGTCCCCCGTGCTAACAGAACTTCACCTAGGGTAAGACATAGACAAATTCTACAAGATAGTTATCTGTGGAAGTGAATGTGTCCCCCGTGCTAACAGAAGTTCACCTAGGGTAACACATAGACTAATTCTACAAGAAAGTTATCTGTGGAAGTGAATGTGTCCCCCGTGCTAACAGAACTTCACCTAGGGTAACACATAGACTAATTCTACAAGATAGTTATCTGTGGAAGTGAATGTGTCCCCCGTGCTAACAGAACTTCACCTAGGGTAACACATAGACTAATTCTACAAGACAGTTATGTGTGGAAGTGAATGTGTCCCCCGTGCTAACAGAACATCACCTAGGTAACACATAGACTAATTCTACAAGATAGTTATCTGTGGAAGTGAACGTGTCTCCCGTGCTAACAGAACTTCCCCTAGGGTAACACATCGACTAATTCTACAAGAAAGTTATCAGTGGAAGTGAACGTGACCCCCGTGTTAACAGAACATCACCTAGGAAACACAGACTAATTCTACAAGACAGTTATCTGTGGAAGTGAATGTGCCCCCCGTGCTAACAGAACTTCCCCTAGGGTAACACATCGACTAATTCTACAAGACAGTTATCTGTGGAAGTGAACGTGTCCCTCGTGCTAACAGAACTTCCCCTAGGGTAACACATAGACTAATTCTACAAGATAGTTATCTGCATCTGTGCCTTAAAAAAACTCTTTAACCCTTTCACCACAGTAGACCATAATTGACTCGCCCAGATAAATGTATGGTAGAGTCTACTAAAGGTACTTAGGGGTGAAAGGGTTAATAGAAATTCCATTTGAATTAGCCTGAGTTTCCTATGGCCCTGACACCAGACATAGACATTAGATTTGACAGATAGATGTCTGGTGTGGGACCAGNTAGGGTAACACATAGACTAATTCTACAAGATAGTTATCTGCATCTGCACCAAAAAAAAAATCTTTAACCCTTTCACCACTGTAGACAATAATTGACTCACCCAGATAAATGTATGGTAGAGTCTACTAAAGGTACCTAGGGGTGAAAGGGTTAATAGAAATTCCATTTGAATTAGCCAGAGTTTCATATGGCCCTAACACCAGACATAGACATTAGATTTTGACAGATAGATGTCTGGTGTGGGACCAGCATCTATCTGTCTAAATCTGGTGTCAGGGCCAGAGGAAACTTGGGCTACATTTGAATATGCCATTGTAGAAATCTGTAGTTCAAATATTGTAAGAATCAGTTACAACTGACTCCCAACATTATCATGCATTCGTATTTCATGTAGATCTCTAGATCTGTTTCTGTTTTAATTTGTTTTGATTTTTCCATCTGAATGACAAGTCCCGTTCATATCACTAATATATCTTAGGCACATGAAGCTAAGTTATGTTTTGTTCTTGTTACATAGAATCATAATGTAAAAGGTATGTTGTGTATTATCAAGGTTTGTGATATAGTTGTCTGTTACAAACATAAATAAACTGTCAAGTGCTGATTGAAACATTTTATTAAAACTTTCTGAATTTTGTATGTTTTGTTTGTTTAGTTTAATTAATAATGTTACCCTTCCTCCACTTCAGGCAGTGAAGCGGTCACACAGACGACTAGGGCTGGCTAAGAAATTGATGGACCAGGCTTCTCGAGCCATGGTAGAATGTTTTGATGCCCAGTATGTCTCGCTACATGTGAGGAAAAGCAACAGAGCAGCCCTACACCTTTATACAAACACACTGGGTTTCTCGTGAGTAAAGATTCTAATGACTGTGTATGTCTGGTACATGTCTTCTATTGTGTATTTGGTTGTATACCACTGGAAGCTACTTGATGAAAGTTATTCTAAAGGAATGGACAATATAATGTTTCAGACTGATAAAATCTGTCACATGGAAAAGAACAAGATACGTTATCTAAGTCGGGGTCTAATGTTCTGTAACATATTCTCAACCGAGGCACATACCAAGGCTGGGATGTTACAGAGTCTTAGCTAGGAGGAAGACTAAGATAACCTGATTTTTCTTAGTTGCATATCATTGAATTTTCTTCTTGGACCTCATTAGTTTATAAAATATTAAATTATTAAATATCAAAATTAAAAGTCTCCTGTCTTCGGCTCAGTGTGTTTGCACTTCAAAAGCTGAACAAAAAAATATAATTTCAGAAAAGTTTGACACAGTTAGACAGTCGTATTCTGTTATATAACAGAACCTACATTTGATGCTTCAGACATTTAACCAGAATTGTTTTGGGCAAGTCATTTTCTCTGCTGTTGATTGTAAAATATTGTTCCATGTTTTTCTTTATCATTAGAATCAGTGAAATAGAACCCAAGTATTACGCTGATGGGGAAGATGCTTATGCTATGAGGAAAGATCTGTACGAGATAAAAGAAAAGGTGGGTATGATTTCTTCCGTTCTTGACAATTTTTAGTTCGACCCTCTTGCCATTAGTAATAATGTAATATTTATCATGACAATTATTTTAACACACATCTTATGCATTTCCACAAAAAATGGTGAAAATAACTGGGTGAGTATAGATTTTTCCAGCAATGGGCAAATATTTCACTGCAAAAAGTCACTGGTATCCAATATTAAATATCCATCGGAAGGTCATGATCATAATGAAGTTCCAGCTTATTGTCTGATGTGGTATTTCATGATTTGAAAATTAATTATCTAATGGGGAAAAGTGTAAATAAGGTGTTGAAACATGTTTATATTGTCGTGTTGGTTGTAGGTTTTGAACGTGAATACTAAAGTGTACCTTAATAGATACGATCGCGAGTAATTGTTTTAAAATCACAAAAGTTACCTCACCATACCGTAAAGAAGTTGGAGGTTCACTCCTAACTCCATTAGGTATAATTCGTGTCATCCTACTTATTTCTCGTTTCAGCATGGACTCCGACAGCTACAGCCAGAAAGCATTACAGCATCCTGAAGATCCAGCTTCCTTGATAGCAACTCGGGCAAATGCTTCGATTTCATGAGAGTTATTTTAGAAAACCAACATCAAGTGCATATGCTTGCTGAAGACAATGTGACAGAACTGGTCTAAAGTTTGGAATTCCAGGAGTGTGGAATGTGAACCATAGATGAGTTAATCCCCTTCACATTGACTGATGATGGTGTGTTGATCTAGAAAGAGCAAGCTTTCAAGGGAGATATAAAGAGAGCAAGAGAGAGAAGTAGAGAGCAAGGGAGAGATAGAGAGACAGAGGTAGCCAGCATTGAACGATACTTTTTATATAGAAAATGTGTGAAGAATGTGAAGCTTGATCTTTTCAGACATCAGAAGTCGGACATTGAAAATAGTGTAAATGAGTTTTATCTATTTTGGCATAATTTGTTAAAGCCATATCAAATACATGTCTATTTGAACATTGTATAATTAACTCCATCAAGTGGTACAAAAATAAATTATTATAAAAAAATAATTTTGTTTTATGTGTCTTTGTTTTGACCTGGTGTTAATGTAACATCTGTACTAATGAGATGTTGTTAACTTTATAGTACATGTATAACTATGTTCGTCCTTCCTATGGGACGATGACTATCCTCATCATTACCACGAGACAGTTGGACGAGTGTTGGCTCTGTGATGGCTGATCAAGTCTATCCTTGTCCGGAAGGTTCTGGTAGAGTGGGTGATGGACAACAGATCCTGAAGTGTTCAGCAACCACTGGTTCAACGTGCTGTTCGCTTGGCTATTACGTCCTTACTACGATTTGCCCCATACACGGCTGTTACCTTGGTGACTACCCGCAAGAATAGATAGTCCTTAACAGGGTTTTCTTAAAGAGATGTTTTTAGAGTATCTTTCACTGCGACTTGTTTTTCCTATGTGAGAGAGGCTGGACATGTGACTTGGTACAGTAGTATAGTACAGTGTTCGTGTTCACACTGTAGATTGAACAGGTGAGATAACAACAACAACATTGACTGGAATGGATCAGACACTTTTATCCAAAGTGTACAAGTTTTCGGACGACTAGGTCAATAAATGATGCCATGATTCTGAACTATGGTGGATGCACTGTATCCAGTTTGTTTTCGAGTGTAGCTAGGCAGGGCACCATGGATAAAATTGGCTGACTTGGTTGGTTGGTTGAAGGTTTTTTTGCCTACATGGTTCAGCCCATTCGTATATGCTGACACACCTTAATTGTTTTTGTAGTCATTTCTTTTGTTTCTATTGTGTCACATTCTCAGAGCTGTTTTCCAGTATGTTTTGAATTAAAAACAGAATTGAAGATAAATTTTGAAAAATGGAATTTAGGTAAAGGTTACCACAGCTTCAGTTGTAATCACATAGAAGAGTTTCATTTCTGAACTTTTATTTTCCACTCAATGCTGTTTTATATATGGAAGATAAAACAGCAAAAATATGTTTTCTGGCATAAAGTTACTTCCCTTGTCTAGATATTTATCTCTCATTTTAATGCTGTGAATAGATCATTCCTGGATAGTAACACTGATTACAGTGTAGGATTGGCTGTATAAAGGTCCTGATACTGATCGCTGTAGATTTTTTAGGTCACCTGAGACAAAGTCTCAAGTGACCTATTGCGATCGCCTTTTGTCCGGCGTCGGTCGTGCGTCCGTAATCAATTTACATTTTCGACTTCTCCAAAACCCCTGAACCAATTTCAATGAAATTTTGCAGAAACCTTCCATGGCCAAAGGTCAACCAAAATTGTGGCCGGTTTGGTTCCCAGCCCCCAGGGGCCTGCAATAAAGGGTCAAATTGACTAAAATTTCAAAAATCATCTTCTCAAGACCCGGATATGGTAGAATCAAATACTCTTCATAGATGCAAAGTGTCTTAAGGTGCTTTACCAAAATTGTGAATTTCTTGACTTTGTGGTCTCACGTTTTCCCCTGGGGAGGGGGTAAACTTTACTATAGTTTATATAGGGAAATCACATTTTTGACCAACATTTGTTTAATTTCCATTGGAAGTAATTCAATTTAGGTTAGCATTATCAGTATTAGGTAGCAGTTTGATAGTATGCACATATGAGCCCTGACTGAACCCCCAGGGCTGATGGGTGTGGCCAAAAAGGGTCGAATTGACTGAAATTTCAAAAATCTTCTTCTCAAGACCAAGATATGATAGAATCAAATACTCTTCATAGATGGAATGGTCTTAAGGTGCTTTACCAAAATTGTGAATTTCATGATCCTGGGGTCTCACGTTTTCCCCTGGGGAGGGGGTAAACTCTACTATAGTTTATATAGGGAAATCACATTTTGGACCAACATTTGTTTAATTTCCATTGGAAGTAATTTAATTTTAAGTTAGCATTATCAGTATTGGATAGCAGTTTGATGGTATGCACATATCAGCCCTGACTGACCCCCAGAGCTGATGGGTGGGGCCAAAAAGGGTTGAATTGACTGAAATTTCTAAAATCTTCTTCTCAAAGACCCAGATATGTTAGACTAGGGTCTCACGTTTACCCCCTGGGGAAGGAAGGGGGCAAAATTTATTATGGTTTATAATGAAAAGATACTTTGAATATAACTTGTTAATAACTTGATTGAAATTATAAAACTGAGTTGACAGTTTGATACTATGAACATTTTGAGCCAGCCCTACCCCCAAGGGCTGTAGGGTAGGGCCAAAGGAGTCAGTGTGCTAAAATTTCTTCATTTTCCTTGTTTAGAATATCAGAGGTGCTAGTTTCAAATCTTTTTTAGTCTTAAATCTGTATGCTAGATATTTAATAAGGTGGTTTTATTGTTTTTTGTCACTTTGGATAATATTTCTGTTAGTGTTAAAAACAAAATCAACTCTCTGTATAAATATATCAGGTGACCGTTAAGGCCCATGGGCCTCTAGTTCAAAAATAAATTCCCCAATCTTCAATTTCACTTTAAATCACACAAAATTACATACAGTGAAACACAAGTTCTAAGTTAATGCATATATGTCAGCCAACATTTGTATGTTTTACTTTTCCTGTTATTTTTATCGAGTTTGACCATATCCAAAATAGTTTGCATTCTTTGCTCTAAGAGTGACATTAGGTTTATAATGACGATTGTCACCAAATTTATTTTACACACAAAGCACAGTCCAGGAATATAACACAAGTTTTAAAGAAAAGCATAACAAGCAACAACTTACCATGTAGTGTTATATATTTTTTATTGCAGATTTTAAACAAAATGCTCCAGCACATGTAAAAGGTGATAGACAGATGAATACAACATTCATCAATGATAATTACATTATCCAGCTGGACAGAATGATTGGTAGTAATGCTCTCACTAATCAATAATATCAAAGCTATGCCCGACAGCGTGTCCAGACAACTCTGGCACAAAACTCAATCTGGGATGAGTGACAATGGCCTAGCACCAAAGGCAAGGGTTAGCTCCCCTTTTAGAGTGGCCTCCCTTATAACACTGAGATGCTATGATGCAAAATTATTAGTATATCTATGTTGTCTTTTAAAATGGGATACAGCGGTTATAAAAACTTAAAACTTTGATGTCTGAACAATTAAATTATCCACAAGGAAAACAAAAATGTTCTTCCATAAAAATAATAAATAAAAGGACTAGCATAGTATACTGTCTAATGTTATATTTTGACTACATTATAATAAATCTATATACACAGTGTGAGGTATAGCTAGGAAATATTTTGATGTGAACAGATTCTTTGAACACAATTATATTGAGAAGTCAATGTTCCTCACTGGCACAAATGATTAAATTACAAAATAAAAGCGGTAAAAATTGCAGATCCCATCTGTTTTGACAAATACTGAAATAGTTTGTCTCGGACATTAGATATGAACTTGAGTGAGATATCACAGCACTTATAACATCTTCTAACAAAAAAAAATCCAGTAAGAAAAAAATATGAAAAATGATGCTCAAACTCTGAACAGTTGAGATAAAAATCAAATTCATTTAAATATCATTTAGTATTTCATTTTTTGTATTTTTCAAAAGTTTCATTAAAATTTAATAATGATTTAAATTTTTGTCAATTTATCGTAACACATCTGAAATTTAAGTTAAAACCACAGTTGAAAGTACAAATGAAAGTTTTGGAAATCTGTCTAATGTTCATTTGTAGAAAGTGGAATCAATTTTCAAATACCGTTTGGTACTATAATAGTGAAAGAAAATAAATAATTTACAAAGTATTAAAGCGAGAGAATGTTGAGGAAATCTCCTTCATTAAAAGGTCACCAACCAGTGAAAGGTCACCAACCATTGAAAGGTCACCAACCATTGAAAGGTCACCAACCATTGAAAGGTCACCAACCATTGAAAGGTCACCAACCAGTGAAAGGTCACCACTTAAGTAAATTATGATAATTCCTCAGCACAAATAGGATGGCTGGATACATAAACCGGTACTGACATGTCACAAACTAGTCATTCACATCCATATACCATTGTCTTTATACAAACTTAAACTCATTCACCCCTGAAATTTCATAATGAACTATTCCAACCTTTGACTTGGAAGGGTTCAAATGTGTCTTCAGGAGTGGATGAGTTAATACTAATTCTTGTCTTTATACAACCTTCATACACTAATCCAAGCCCTTGTAAACATTCCAATCTTGTTAGGATACATTTACAGATATACAAATATATATGTATAATTAATTATTTATCGATAATATCATCAGCAATATGTGTACAATGATAATATTCCTTTACAATTTGGAATGAAGTTTCACTCAATTCTTATACTAGAATTTTAATTTACACAACTAATTATTTTTACTTAATGACATTACTTCTTTTATGACTTATACAAATGTTGTTTATTTTTCAAAACATGATTAATAGTTTGAGACAACAAGATTGGTATAAATTACAATGGTCTTTGTGACCAGCCATCAGAACTGTTTTAGGTTCTGTCTGGAGGACATATTCAGTGACTTTGGGGTATTTGGTTCCTACACCAATCCCCCTGTCACAGCGTGAGTAAATTGTCTGTCAAAAATTCCAACATATAGATGTTGCAGGTACTTCCTTGGCGATCCTCGTCACGGAGATCATTCTCTGAGTGCCTCCGCCACTGGGTCCGTCTTTGTTGACCTTGACCTTGTAAACGAGGAAGGAAGGAAGATCTTTGGTATGGTAGATACACGAGGCTGTTGCTATGGCGTTCCTGTCAGCACTGGAAAAGCAAGAGAGGACTGGGTCAGAAGGAGAGAGGATATTTAAGTCTTATAATAGCACTGGTTTCTATCTCCCAAGCACTGTGTAAAACATGGAACGTACTCCTAAACAAGTTTCCTGTCACCTCGTATTTATTAATTACCTCATCAAAATATTAAATGATTGATTTGTTTTCTTAATTTAGTTTAGTCTGAAATAAGGTGTCAATTTTTCAAAAAGAGTAGAACAACACATCTTTTGTTATGAGTGATGAGGTACCAGCTTAAATTGTTAAGTGAACATTCCATGTTTTACGCCTCGCTCTCAGTGGGAGCAGCTGTTTTTACACAGCCCAGCAGTCATTGTCATGGATGCCAGAACAAAGCATCATGTTACGAGTGCACGTGCGTGCCGTTAAACGCCGGTCCTAATCAACACAAGAACAACGCTGAACCATGCATCTTACAATACAACGGATTGGACCATGGTGGACCTATCCACCATACACAGATCCACATGTTAATTACACCATAACATATACATTAACTTCATTGAGTCTACTACAAACAGCTTATATTTCACAAACATTTTTATTAACTCATGCTTAAATAATAAGTCAATGAAAAAAAGCAAAATATTACTGCTTTTGAAATATGTGTGTGTTAATTGCTTTAAAAAAATCAGTTGAGAGGTATGTTGTTTTCACAAATTCAACTGTCTTGAGAATTCATATTTTTATGGATACAACAGTGTTGTAATTAATTCACCATCCAGCTGTGATGTTAATGCATCTGCTTATATTGATATTAAAGCGTGAAAATGCCAACAGATACTTATGGAATAAACACTTTCAGAGAATTATCATCAACAAAAATGTTTGTGTAATATAAACATGAAATATTAGAAGTGTCATGTTATTTACAACAATCGTACAAGTTACGTGTACACTGCCTTCTGAACAAAATCCCTTGTGAGAAATGAAGAAAATGTCCTAATCTACAAACAAACAAATATTGTCATCTCTTTCAAAGAGACGGACAAATATTTTGTTATCCCCTGTTTATTTTACCAATGATTTATCTGTAGAAATATATTTTTTGTGATGCACTTACAACACTAATACATATACAATACCATATTTAACCCAAATAACCCCCCATTCTCCAAAGTCTACAAGTCAGTGTCTATTTAGAGTGGTTATTTGAACAATCATTAATTAATATTGATAGACTACATTTTCAACTGAACTATAACAAAACAGATGTGGTAGGGGCTTTGATCATTCATTTAAATACTTTATACCAGGAATTTTTTGTCCTGTGATGGTAAAATTCATTTTCTCCCAATATTTGCTATTCACATTACTACTGTAAAATCATAAATTTTCGTGGGACATTAAATTTCGTTGATTTCGTGGATAACAAAATTCCACGAAATTAAATCCCCACGAAAACATAAATTTGGTATGATATAGATACAGGAAAATCAGAAATCAGCGAATTATAATGTCCTTGAAACAGGCTAGTATATGAAAACCACGAAATTTTAACCCCACAAAAATAAATGATTCTACAGTATGTATATTATGTTGTTTACAAATGTTCGCTGTAATGATAAATTTGCCTTCATTATAGGGGGCGAAAAAGGCAAAAACTAAAATTTCCTGGTATACTGTGTTAGAATTTTTCAAAAGAATGCTGAGTCAGTTAGTATAAGATCAAATTTGGTATAACATGTATGTTGAATCAAACCATTTTAACTGCAACGCTAATTCATTATGACACTGGCGAGAAGCATGTTTTGGTAAATTTTACATATCATTATATATACTCATCAGGGTTGCTGTGTTACAACACAAGACAGGGGAGATAACTGTTAATGAAGTAACAAAGCAGTTAATTTTAACATTTATCATCAAATCAACTTTCAATATTATTTATGGTAAATCATTCTTAAAAAAAAAGATGCTAATTAGATGACAGTATACATAGTTCACACAAATCAACTAAAAATAAAACTGTATACATCAACCATACAATCATTCAGGCATGCCTTGGCAAAATATGGTAACAAGCAAACTGTATAATCTGAATATTCTAAGTTTATTTTTGTGAGTGTATATCTTTAACTCATTCACCCCTGAAGACACATTTGAACTCTTCCAATTCAAAGGTTGGATTTGTTCATTATGAAATTTCAGGGGCGAATGAGTTAAATATAAATTAAGAACATCCAAGTCGGTTTTCTCCAAATGTTTTTTTTAAGCCAAAAACAGCTGGTTGTTCCCTAACTGTTCTATGCATGTATATAACTAAGTACCAAGGGGTAGAGACTCTTGAAAATCTACAATATAAACCCCAAAATCTGACCCACTGCTGGGTTCTTCCATTACCTTACATAGACAGTGCATAGCCAATACTGTAGAAAACTCGAGCTCAAATAAATTCAGTTAACAATTGTGACACTGGTCAGTACCTGATATTGACATCACTAACATCATATTTATGTCACTTTGACCCAAATCAAATTTGGCATTATACATTATTATGTTATTCTAAGCCTGCATCCTTAACACTAAATAGGCACCGACATGGTCAATGTATGTCATGGTTATGATGAAGAATCCCAAACACCCCCACCCCGACTCTACCCCACCTACCCCTCAGTATGATATCACTGCCATGTCTGAACTGTCCAGCTGGGCTGTCAGACAGCCCTCTCCCCCTGCCCTGTTTGCCCTGTCTCAGCTCCCTGCAATAAGATCCCTCTGACCTTACAGCTCCCATCAGACCTGGGTCTGTATCACATATACCAGTATGTACAGCTGCTCATTCATAAATTTATGCACCATATTGATTTCCAATCTGAACGTTAACAGTAGCTGTTAAACCAAAAGCATCGATTTCTCTCCATGATTCAGAAAGCTAATAATAACTCAGTGAAATCAGCAAGCTTCTAGAATTCAAAGTCAGAATTCTATATTCAACACAGCAAGCCTGACACATGCTGCCACAGGTAGCACTTATCATTGGTCTGTATTTTATTCACAGACTTAACATTTCCTAGAATAATATCAGAGCTGTCTGCCAGATCTTAGGTAGGCACAACAATACCTCAGGCAGTGTCTGTCCTGTATACACAAAATGTACATGTACAGTAGCCCTCAGTATACTTACATAGGGTCGAAGTTTACCTAACATGATTAAAGCTGGACAATGACAAATTTAGAGCTCAATAATAACTCAGAGCACGACAATGACTCAGAGCTTGACGATGACTCAGAGCTTAATGATGACTCAGAGCTTGACGATGACTCAAAACTTCACAATAACTCAGAGCAAGACAATTACTCAGAGCTAGGGGAGAGCTTAATATTAATTCAGAGCTCCACAGTATCTTAGATCTTGACATTAAGTCAGAGCTCAACATTAACTCAGAGTTTGACAATAACACAGTGCAGGACAACTCAGAGCTTGCTGATAACTAAGAGTTTGTTAATAACTCAGAGCTTAACAATAACTAATTTAACTTACATTAGCTCAATGCTTAACAGTAACTCAGGAGAATTAATACTTGACAACAACTCAGAGGACCAATTAATGTTTGAAAATACCTTGGAGGAACAATGCTTGACGCTAGCTCAGAATTAAGAGAATAAGAGATTGACAATATTTCTGACGACCTATTTAAGATTTAGAATAACTCAAGAACACCAGACTCTGCCAGACAATGACTTAAACTACAATATCTGAAGCAGTGGTGGATATGGGTTTTTTCTCAAGTTTTAAGATACTTGGGGTCAAATTTGTTCGGTTGGAACCATTGACAGTGAAAACTCGTATTTAGCTTTTAATGTACCTTAATCAGCGGAGAGCTGATGTGTGACTGCAGTGAGTCACAGAGATACTGGGCCACATCATGATTCAGCATTCGCAGTGTCAGTGATACAACACTTTCTCATCTAGTTAGAATTCCTACATATTTTATGACATGCTGATGTCTGCATGATTACACACAGCACCAGAAATTATTTAGCTTATCCGTCAATTTTGAACCCCCCCCCTTCAAATATTAATGTATTTGTGTAGAACAAATTCATGTTGAATGTTGATAGTCACACACCTAAAATCGCAGGTCAATGTGATTTAAGTAATGTTTAAAACATCTCCTTTTATTTAATTACAGAATGAAACATGAACAAAACCACAACGGTAGCTGCGCCTTCATGTTCTACCACAAAGGGTATATACTTGTATGAAGTGGAGATTTGCTGTGTAAGTGCAAAACATCTGTGATGCATGACCTTAAAATCATGACATATTTTTTTTATTTCGGACAGGTTAAAATAGGTTATACCAATTATAACATACTGGATCATACATTAACAGGGTCATACACAAATTATAAGGTACAGGGGTGACTATAATTTTAACATACTGGATCATACATTAACAGGGTCATACACAAATTATAAGGTACAGGGGCGACTTCAAACAATAGCAGAGTTCTCCTGCACATCATTGCTACAGTATATATGACAGGGGGTGAATGGCAGGTCAGGTAACCACTTAAATTAATCATGTCACCTGGGGCTCAGTTCTCACATACTTCTACTTTTGTGTTGGTTTAATGATCGTATCTCATAGAATGTGTTACGTACACAACATATACAGTGTGTTTTTTACAATCACAAGAGTACACAACACTTTGAAGTTGAAGGTAGATGATGGCCATATGTTCCGTTGATACCATGGTGACCACCACCCATCAAACAGTCCAGTTTATTTCTGAAGATGGGATGATACCAACACCAGTGAAATACAAGTCCATTTTCCGCTCCTATATGTGACCATAAACCATCTGTCAGACCAAATTGTATCCCCAACTCTATACCACCAGTAACTGATATTCCCATGGTGCTTCCTGGTGACCTTACTGTTTCACTATGGCAATTAACCATGTAACAACTCTGTCCAGAGTCAAAATATTGTAGAATAACCTATAGTTAATTTTTAAAAATACAGAAATGCTTGGAATATCAAGTGTTTTGGGTGTTTTTTTCCGTCCTGGCCATAAAGTTACCAAACAGGAGCTGCCTGCCATTAATTGCCTTGGTCAATAGCTGTGATAAGCAGCTAGCCAAGCAGCCCAGTGTTGGATTGATCAACTGGCTGTGGAGGCTGGTCTCAAACTCGGGGGGTCATCTCAGAAGGCAACATAGACCCATTAGGATAACACACTATATATTTCTCTGCACTTACATATATGATTTAGTATATTTTTACTCTGATTGAAATATTGTGATCAATCTTTTATTATAGTTATTAAATATATTATATTTTCACCAGTGCCATTCCCCCTATTAGCACCCCTCCCTTTATCAGCACTCGTTTTCATTATGTAAATGCCCCCTACCTCAAGTGAATCTTTAATTCTATCCCATGTTTTTGGTCAAGTTTCAGAAGATAATTTAAATATGTCAGCAATTTCTTGGAATAGGTCTCAAAAGTCTACATGAAATTATTAGTACTCTTTTATGCAACTTTCCTGCAATACAGTATTTATTTGTTTTTTCTATTCCTAATAATTATAAGTGCCCCATCTTCCTACAAATTCTTCCGACACTTTGGGCACTATTTAGAGTGAATACTGTACATCACAGGATAGGACATTCCGAGATGACCCCCATGTAAGTAAGCATTACCAGTTTGAAGACCACAGACGCTCATGCCTAATTGAACTTTCCCTCTAAAGATGTCAAATTACACAACCTTTCATGTTTCCTTTCTCACTGAAATAGTTTTAGAGCCATTTTAACCCTGTACAAGTTGCTCTGAAAGCTTTCTAGTAACATACCTTGTAAGCTGTACATTTTCTATAAAATTGTATCCGTAGACTTTATTAACAGTTTAAGTTTGCCAAGTAAGGGATACAGACCATATGATCAGGCCTAATTCTTTCAATTTTGAATGAATCTTTTCAATGAATGGTTTTGAAATGGTCCCTCATTATAACAAATTATGTTTCTACTGCAGCCAGAAGATCAATGCTAGTTTGCAATCTTATCATCAGCATTCTAAATTTCTTCAGACAAACCCTAAAAAAAATTTACAATACAAAAAGTGGTTTGTAACTAACAGATACCCCGTTTTAACAGTGCTTGAAGCTTTTTGTTTGACATACTGTAGTAATCACCATGGCAACAGAGGTTTTTGTTTGACAAACTGTAGTAATCACCATGGCAACAGAGGTTTTTTTGCCTGAAAATGTTCTTGTAATCTTTCAACAATAAATCATTATAAACTAAACATCCAATCAATTTAACATGCAATAATAACATACTTTAGTGACACACATGTTCACATAATTGACCTTGACACTTTCATGGTTAGATATTGTATGTGGGGTCGATAGCTCATGATCAATGGACCCACTGATGGGTTGGAATAGTTCATTATGAAATCTCAGGGGTGAATGAGTTAATATGTTAGAAATTGCATTTGTTTCAAACATTTTTTAATCACCTCCTGTTGTCCATGAAACCCCAAACCACACAAATTTCTGTTCCATTTTGAAAAGATCAAGGTCAGTGAACCAGACATAAGTGAACATTGAAAACAGAGTTACAACATTTATCAAAATGCATGTGTACATTGAAATAACATTTTTATATGAAAGAACAAAAAATCAGTTTGGAAATCATAATTAAAGCTGCAATGTAAAAACTGTACAGTATAAATAAAATCACATTTGCACCATACGGTAAAACAGTTACGTCACTTTGAAATCACCAGTGATACAAGACAGCAAATGAAAGGCCAGAACACAGAATAGGAGGTGAAATGAGGACTATATAGGTATTGTAAGTACATACTATTATTATTATCCTCTCCCCTGATACAATCCCGGCCCGGGATAGACAGACACACCTACAATGTAGACCAGACAATGTCACCATGGTAACCCCTCTCAAAACCCTAACCTACCCTGAAATGGTTCAAGGATCTGAACTGTAACACCCTAAAATATATCATTGTATTGGAAGATATAAAAGTAGGTTTACAAAAGAGATATACCATTTGTATATCTCATTTGTAATCAGGGATTTTTTCAAAGAACTGACATTGTTTTTACCTAGTACTATTTCTATACCTGTATTATATAAATTAGTAAGAAGATCCACAGTCTGCGTTACAGTACAAGTACAATGGAAGAAAATTAAATTACGACTATAACTTTATAGATTATAATGATTGACTTTTTGCATGCATAGAAATTACCAAAAGAACATTTTTTTCCTGATTTTTTTCTTGTCATTTTCTCCGGTACCACAACTTTCCCAATTTTGTTTAACAATGTTCCATTGTACTCTGTAGCAGTTCTGGTTTGGGTTATTTGGGTCCACACCTGGCCACACCTTAGTGAGGGTATGTTCTAGTGAATATTAATTTACATGAAGGGGAGGGCGCCATATGATTAGTGTACATATATGAGCAATGTGGTGACGAGGCTTACACTCATGGAATAACTTATATACAGCAATGTTGTGATCATGGATGGAGAAAAAAAGCAATAAATAAAACGGTATATGTACTGGATGGTATATCCGTGGCGGCGGTATGATGTCACTTTCTCACGTAATATCTAGCTCTACTGCTCGAGTAAACATGCACACACTTACCGACCCCAGGAAAGGAATGGAGAGAAGGTCAGAGGTAAAGAGAAAAGATGGCACAATGTTTTGAAATCTTTGATCCTATAGAGAAACAATATCAAACCTTTTCATGTCTCCTTTTATCAATTTTCAACATATGCTTCTCTGGTACATGCTTCAAACAAAGTCTTATAAATGTTCATATACCTGAATTAGCTGATGATCAAAAGATGTCTTGAAAAATGGAGGTCTCTAACTATATCTTAAAAATATCTAGAAAACCTCTTTTTGAAAAAATGTGAAAAGGTGAATATTGCTTATCTCATAAGAAATGTTTAGAACACAGAACTGGTAAAGAATCCAACCTTTGTTCAAACTGCTGACAACACTAGACTAGCTCTCCATGGCTTTGGACCAGTTCAACGTGGCTACAAGACGTCAAAGGTTAGAAACTTAGTACAAAGTCTAACCTGGTAAGAGAGACAAGCACCAGCGGACCCTGGTCCGGCAGTAGCCACCACCCACTCACATGTAGCTATGGTTACCCACTCACATGTAGCTATGGTTACCCACTCACATGTAGCTATGGTTACGTAGCTAACCTCATGACTACTACATAGACAGATCAACTTACCGTGTGTGTGAGCCTGGTGGAAAAGTGTCTAATAGTCTCTCTTGTTATGATGGTGTGAGCGACCTGACCCACTGTAACGGTCATACGACTCTTCATGATATGGATTGTAGTTGCGACTTACTTTGGAAGCCCCCATTTTACTTCGGCCACCACCGCCACCACCACCGCCGCCCCCACCTTGGCGGCGCATGTTGCGACGTTCTCTGTCGAACTCTAGGTCCTCCATCCTCTGTGTCAAGGTCAATTTCTGCTGTATTGCCATCCTCAACAGGGAGTTCAGTGTTTTCTTTTCCTCCTCTGCGCTTGCCAGTTGACGTTGCATTTCATCCAGCTGAGTAACATATTCGTCACACCTCTGAGCAAACATGGCCCGCAGTGACGCAAAAGTAGCAGCATCTTCCTTGAGTGCTTTGAGTTCATTTCTCAATTTCACCATGGTTTCCGTGACAATGACCTTTTCGGTGAGGTATTTCTGTTTAAGATTAGCCAGCGCAACTTCTGCAGCAGATTTGTTGGCTTTCAACACGCTACGGAGCGTGGCGATCTGTTCCCGTTTGGTGGACAGCATGGCCTTCAGTTTGACCACCTGTTCCTGGAGCTCCTGGACATCTTGGTTCTCCGTGTCGACTGATCGTTGCTGCGACACCTCCATCAGGTGTTCCACGCCACGTTTTAGGTATTTCACCTGGTCAATGATGGTTTCAGTCAGTTTGTAACAAGAAATCGGGTCGCCCTTAATGTCACCATTTACAACGTCCTTTTTGGATTTGGATTTCAGTTTTGCTGATTTCTCCGTGCCTTCTTTGTCCTCTTTTTCTTCACTGCTCTCTCGATCCTGTCGTGACATCATGGCTGCTGATTTCACGTGATCGAGCATAACACGGCTCGGAGTTTCTCCGCTGACCTCACAAACCAAGTGATACAATTGTGCAAGCTCCTCTGTAACCCTGACCAGTTCATCCTGTGTAGTGGTGAGGCTGCCCTGTGCCTCACCAGCGGCCAGAGACATGGCCTTGAGATCCTTACCAAGGTCAATGATGGTGTCATGGTAACCGTTACACTTGTTCTTCATAGCCTCAATGGCCTCTTCTATGCTCTTGTCAGCTTTCACCCCTCCTAGCTGACTCCGTTCCTGTAGACGGCTCAGTTCCTCATGTAAGCTGTTAATCTCCTGTAGGGCGTTTGAGTATTTGTTTTCCCCGGGACTCCCGTTTTTGGCAAATGTCCCCTGAGATTCTCCTTGTATTAAAGTACTTATCTGTGATTTGAGCTGATCAGCCCTATGTTTCTGTTCTACTAAATCTGTCTGTGTGTCCTGTATCAACTTCTGGGCCTCATCAAGAGCCGACTGAAGTTCTAACTTTTCATTTTCACTCTGATTCAACATCTGTTCCAACTTTTTCACTTCATTTTCCTGAATTTCACTGAGAATATCGTTCACTTTGCCTGGGCCTGGTTTTACTGGTGATTTTGTCTCGTCCTGTTTGAAGTCCGCCTCAATCCGTTTCAGGGCGGGATTGTTTTGTTCTCCCTCCTCAGTATCATCCTCAAACTCATGATGGTTTGGAACAAGATCTCGGAGGCCCTCACTAAGTCCTCCAAAATGAGCCAGGTTGCTGAGATTAAACATGGACTCCTGGCTCAACCGCTGATCAAGTTCCTTCTTATAAGCATGCTTTTGTTCTCGCTCATGCTTAAGTGAGTTCAGTGCCTCGTCAAGATTTTTTTCAACTATTCGTTTGAGGCCCATTGCATCTTCTAATTGAATATGGAGGTCATCGGCCTCCTCCTGGAGGCGTTTGATTTCATGTTTCATCCCTTCATATTCAACTTGTCCCTGCTTTAACTGCGATACTTGTTTTTGTAACGAGATATTTTCATCCTCCAACTCAGCATAATCAACCAGGTTCCGATTCTCTCGAATCTTATATTCCCGCAGTTCATTTTTGTATTGGCGTCTTTGCTCTTCGAGAGAATCGGAACCTTGTTGGAGCTCTTGTACTGCCGAGTTTAATCGTTCGTTTTCGCCCCCAAATCTTTCCAATGCTTGTTTACATGTCTTTAGTTCTGTTTCTAGGTCTAAAATCACAGATTTGTAACTTTCTTCCCGTGTGGCAGTCTCCAGCAGAAAACTGTCCTCCTGGTGTATTCCACTTTTCTGCTGCTTGCGAAAGGTGTCCTGGTGTTTGTTCAAGGCCTACAAGTAAATACAAACAAGCCATAAGTAAACAAAAAGATATAAACAAACACCAACAAACCATTAAGTTATTAGATTATAAAGATGAAATATTTGAATCCCCCCCCAAAAATGTTGTTACTCATGTGTAACAAATACACAAGCTTTATTATTAATACAAATTATGCAATATTGTTTTAATTCTGTGACATGTACTGTATCCTGTATCTGACTTGATAACAGGACATATTCTAATAAGACAACCCCATATTGTATAAAATACGGTACATGCAGACACTAGGATTTATGACTGTCCTCTTATATTTATACAACGGTGTAAAAACCCTTAATAGAAGACCACGAAGCTGATATGGTTTTACTGGGAGTACATAAAAAGATGAGGAAGTTGACACTTAGTAATTAACCAAGTTAGCTTCAAACAATTTCAGATCTCAAGATTCAGCTCGGTCTCAAACCAAAAACTAGTTAGAAATGTCTTTCATGTCATGTTTCTGTACTAACACCATTATGGGTGAAGTGTGTGGGGACTTGTCAAGGATGTCAACAGCAGTACAAGAGGGCTGGTTTACCGGGTAATGCATGGTATAATAAGGGCTGGTTTACTGGGTAATGTATGGTATAATAAGGGCTGGTTTACCGGGTAATGTATGGTATAATAAGGGCTGATTTACTGGGTAATGTATGGTATAATAAGGGCTGATGTACTGGGTAATGTATGGTTTAATAAGGACTGATTTACTGGGTAATGTATGGTAAAATAAGGGCTGATTTACTGGGTAATGTATGGTATAATAAGGGCTGATTTACTGGGTAATGTATGGTAAAATAAGGGCTGATTTACTGGGTAATGTATGGTATAATAAGGGCTGGTTTACCGGCTAATGTATGGTTTAATAAGGACTGATTTACCAGGTAATGTATGGTATAATAAGGGCTGGTTTACCAGGTAATGTATGGTATAATAAGGGCTGGTTTACCAGGTAATGTATGGTAAAATAAGGGCTGGTTTACCAGGTAATGTATGGTATAATAAGGGCTGGTTTACTGGGTAATGCATTGTATAATAAGGGCTGGTTTACCGGGTAATGTATTGTAAAATAAGGGCTGGTTTTTCAGGTAATGTATGGTATAATAAGGGCTGGTTTACCGGGTAATGTATGGTAAAATAAGGGCTGGTTTACCGGGTAATGGATGGTATAATAAGGGCTGGTTTACCGGGTAATGTATGGTATAATAAGGGCCTCAGACTGCAACTGGAGATATGTTACCTACTCAGAAACAGAATATGATCAACAAATAGAATCTATAAATGAAACTATACAAATTGTAATTGAGGAATAGTCTTTGGAGATCGGCAGAAAGAGAAACATATATGACAGCAAATAATATCACAACAAACAATAATTTAATGTTTAGCCATATGTCTGTCTCAACATTATTGCATGGTTGCAAATCTTTAATATACACTGAGTCAGTTACTATAGCCAGACATTTATCAAATACCAGATGTAACTGTCTGGTTTCCAATATAATAACATATAGTTTGCAGATTCTTAATGTGAAGAATTCCTTTAAAAAATCTCCTATAAGTTGGTGTGTTGAAATTATGCTATACCTATGCATAAATTTATATTTCATAGTCTACATGTATCGCTGTAAAGATATGTTCTGACAAGCTGAACAGGAAATTTAATAACATGGCCTTCAGCTCGAGGTGAAACTGTCACACTACCACGAGTCTGTTCCATCTGGTGTAAACCATTACAGTTTTTACTAATTTTGTTGTATGTGCTGGAAAACATTGAACTGTAGAAACAAACACATCGGTTTTTATAAATGAAATGTTTCGCCCAGAATAATATTACATAGGAAGTGGCCGTATGTTTTGCTATAAATGGTCCTACATCCCATTGCTATTTGAACTGACAGCAAAATGATGTTTCATTGAACAGCGTCTATAATGGTAATACGACTATCAATCTTGTGATCTAACTCATATGCAGCAGCAGCAACTGTTCCAGGCTTTTATGATAGGTGTCTATGTATTATATATAGAACTACAGCTATACAAGTTACATCCTGGGGCAAAAAGTAAGAGTTATAACCACCTATACCACCACCCTTCTGGCACCTCCCCAACCACTGTATCAAGTAAACTTAAAACTAGGTACCAAGGCAAGCTCTGTACCAAAACATATCATGCATCAGCGCACAAGCTACATGTGTCTTAGGAGTACTTATGGCTAATTTCTAGGTGGTGGTACCTGGTGTCGACACCACCATAACACTCATCATAGTATGTCAGGTCTTTTATTGGCAGTGTTTCTGTATCAACATAACTTCGATACAGTTGATGTTCACAGTAAAAAAGGACTATTACTTACAGATTCATTATGAAAAACACTGCATAACGGATTGGTAGCTGATGCTGCATGCAAGTATGTAGAGTCATATACCTGGGAATTGTGACACCTGTACAATCTGACTTTACCTTGTACCTGGGAATAGTGCCTCCTGCTCAATCTGACTCTACCCGTGTACCTGGAAACACTTACAATTGTGTAAAACAATGTATGACTTAACCTCTGTACCTGTGAATTCTGACACCTGCCTAATAAGACCTCATCCTTGAATATCAAAATTCAAACATTTCATTGCCTCCTTGTATCAGCTTGCTACCTGATACATAATTATTTGACATCTTTCACATGTTAAAATAACCTTACCAGAAAAAAAAATACAATTTAAAAACCCCTTCAATCTACCCATGATCAGGATTCCTAAAAAATACTTAACTTTAAATATCTGCCCTTGGTGTAAATTGATCCGCAATAAGCTTAAATCTTCTGATCAAATTACACACATGTACCAACCCATCGACAACAGGACACAGGTATCTGTCAATACAAATTATACCATTTAATCTGAAGACTGTTATGAGGTATGAGATATCAGAACCCAGCTTTGGAATATCAATAGAACTCCTCATATAACTATTGACACGTTATACGATGTTGATCCAATATTGGCCGATATAGGTTTATGATCTTCAGTTAAGGATTTCAACAATCCAAAATATTGTTACGGCAATTCATCACAACAATGTCCAATTTGGTTCTTCATTAATCAGTTATCAGCCACACTATTAAAGAGTTGAGAATGTTTCATAGGCTCTTAATTTGTTCCCCTGAGTTGGGGTGGTTAAGGGCTGTGAAGGTGAAATTCATATCAGACCAAAGTTCCACAAATAAGATATGATTTTCCATTAGAAATAAAGCAATACTGATCATGAGGCTATAAGGGAAATGTTCTTCAAAACTGTCCTGGATTCCAATAATGCTTCCCTGAGGGACAAACCTGACGATAAAGAATATTCATAAACCTACAGAGCCTGGTAATATTCTGATATTGATCTGCCAGCTTTGTATGGGTACGTTTACTATATATGTAGTTTGTAATTATAAGGTTTACTGTTACCCCGTACATGTACATCATGATAAGATATATTTACTATATATGTAGTTTGTAATTTATGTACATCATGATAAGATATATTTACTATATATACTTTATCTTTATTTATCCTTTCAGACTTTGGTAAATGGATACTGTCCTGAACACAGGAACTCTATTACATCACCAAGTCCCTGAATCTGATGGTGTGGCGTTCACGTGAATCTGATGGTGTGGCGTTCACGATATCACGACTTTATCACAAACACATACAGCTTTATCTTAAGAATGGCACATTAGCTTTAGATTCCCTAAAATATGCATTGGAGATTAAAGAATACTATTTCCATTGCTGGTGATGATTTACCGTGGTATTATTTTTTTTGTAAGATGAAAATTTATTAAGGAGCTTGAGAGTTGTGAAATAAAGGCAATAAGTGAAATTTATATCTCAAGAAAATTACTTAAGAGTTTATTATTATGGACTTTATGGCGATAGTTCCTTGTGGAGTTGTGTAGGTATATATCTTACATGTTTATATCTCAATCCTACACTGCCATGAATCATCAGTCACATCCCTACATTTATACCAACTTACACATGTATAGTCATAACACTACATCATTTGATGTTAGATGAGACATCGGCCTTCCTCGTCAGTGGGCGATATATATATATATGTCTATCAGCAAACACTGCCTACGTATGTATCCCACCCCAAACATCCACCCACAAAAAGCCTGACAGAGGAACGGCCCCATTCAATTAACCTGTAAAGCAAGTTCTCCCCCTCGTGTATGCTGTTGCTGTAATATATGCATATTTTATTCACATGTGATTCAGATGACGGATACCTGTATATATAAATTCCAAGGATTGTTCTACACAAAGAGCTTCCTGTGAAGAAAAAAACTTGTAGGCAATTAAAACTAATAAATAAATTTATCAGTGATCATGAGTAAATCTACAATAAATGTGTCTCCTAAAGTGCTCCCTGTCTCACACCAGGTATAAATCATAGCAGGTAGCTGATCTTCAATAAGACATGGTTGAGGTACCTGTCAGGTAATACAACAGGTAAACATTTGTTGATCTATTTTACCTGTACAAGGCCCGGTGTGACATACTTTGACACACTGACGACACATCAACCTGTTGGTCTAGTACAGGAATTTCACTTCACCCCACACAATAAACATTGCTGTCACAGCTTGTCACGCCCCTGTACACAAAACAAATCACCCATAAAATAGCATTTGTAGCTCAAAATAACCATTACCTAACAACTAAATCCAAAGATTTAAGATGATAGGATTTGCTTTCAGAAATGCGATACATTTTTATTCATATCAACTGGTTTATATTTGTAAAACCTGTTTGTTAAATTAACATGGACAAACAAGTGTCAATTTAGAACTTGGTGCACATAAAAAACGCCTTCTCTATTTATCAGATCTAAATCACAAGGACACTAACAGATGGCTGCATGTTATAGGGTCTCCATACAAAATACTTCTGAAGATTCCTGTTTATTTACATGTATATA